GCTGATATATTGGTTGTATTCTGGATGCATTGTCAACTCTGATATTTACTGCTCCTGAAGCTGCCAAGCAAACATGTTTTCTTACAATCCATCTATTTTCAGATTGGGGTATCTTAGGACTTGTTTGCCATTGTGTCTATGTTGGATTTGTTGTTCTAACAGGAAATGGAGTCTGACTTATTTACATATAATAATGCAGACAAATTTTGTTTAAGTTGGTTTAGTGATCGACGTAATCATCTGTATTTTAAGGCTATAAATTACTTGCTGTTCATCTGTTCAAAGATCAAGAAACAATCATGGGTAGTGCACAAAGGAATGTTTAAAATGCTACACATAAGGCAGTATAATGTTTGATCTCGGCTGTTTCTTTGGCTGTGGTTATGTGTATTGGTCTTTAACAAATTGAATTGCATTAACTTTCTGTTATTTCAAATTTCAAATTTACAGTCAATTTTGTCAGTTACTGTCAACTTCTTGAAATTATGATAAGCAAGGAACAGATTTCTTTCAGACTGTTCTTATGTGCAAAAAAAACCAGGATTTTGAATCCGAGCCTATGTAAGATGAAATGTTGAGGATTTCAATCTCATCTTTGGCAGTGACATGCTTGTACAAATCAGTCATTAAGTTAAGACATTTAGGACCAAACTCTTAAATATTGTTTGAAATATCATTGGACTGCATATTACTGTAAAACATTGTCTAAATTTCTTATATACAATACGTTATAGTTAACCTATCATCTAGTGTCCATGTGAAAGAATTTTTTTTAATGTTGAATTTCGCTCATGTAAGTTATACAAGAAATTGTTTAGTGGAGAGGGAAGTCAAGATTGATTTTTTTCAGTGGCTCTAATTGCACCAGCTTCATGCTCTAGGCCCGGTAAACCGTTTAGTCGTGAGTTAGCAAGAGTATAGTTAAATCGAACATTTTTGAAACCAGATGGTTGTCTATCCCCCAGCACACATGCAGATTGGTGAGATAAGATGGGTGGCCCGCATCCAAATCCTTCATTTCCATCTCCCTCAGCCATTGATCAACCCACCACCATTGGTCTTGTATACTAAACCCTGAGAATCAAATTAAAGAGTGATAAAAGACGTGTAGGACACAAACCGTTATCAGATCCTCCAGTGTTCTCATTAATCATGGATTGGGAGCGGGTCTTGGCTGCGAGTTGAGCCACCATCAATGTTGGATAATGCTACAGCTCCCCATCTTATGAACCCCCCTGAGGCATAGCCATCCACCGCCAGAAACTGTATCCGTCAGGGCATTTGCTTGCATGGATAGACCGTTCCCCTCACAAGAGCAGATACAAGGAGCCAGAAGGTACTCCAGTCAGGTCCAAACACGCAGGCGACGACGTGAGACGCAACTTCCTGACAAATTCGTCCGTGTGCACTTGTAATTACTAGGAGGGCCGACGATGGATTTCGGCAATGGAGTTTGACGACCGTGGCTGGAGAGGATAAAAAGCCCATCTCAGCAGGTACCTTGAGTGGACGCCTGGCACGGCAGATAAATTTGATATTTCTGCATGCTTGCAAGAGGAAGGTGTCTCTGTGGTGTCATATTTTGCTAGTTGGCCATACTTTGTAGTTGGAGTATGTGTTTAGGCCTACTGCAGCCTTTACCTGATGAAAACCATCTGTGAACAGCCAACTGACTTATAACTGAATTAACTTTTCACCTCCAGAAGACAGTTTAGACTATAACATCATGGGCAATAAAGGTAAGAAAATTAGTACGATTTGGCAATATCACTCGGGTGTTGTCAACATAGTTTTTAGTTCAAACTGCCATGAACTGAAGAAAATAAATATCAATCATGACATATTTCTGAAGTCAGCCACAACATTTAGAAAATGTAGTGGACAAATTGAATTATGCACGGTTCAAATGCTACTGTTGCTTTAGTTCTGTAGGTAATTGATTGCTAAAAAGAGGACCACAGATCAATTTCTTTTTCTGAACTTCATTGCTTTTTGTTTAGTATATTTGAACTATCACTATTTTGCATTTCAGAGAAAAGAACAAGTATTGGATCAATACTGTTCAAGTAAAGTTTCAATATATTCATAACCTAGAACGCTTGGTAACCATACTTTTCTCCAGTGCCTGTGAATGCTGTAGTCGTTACCCTGATTTAAACTTGAGTATGGTAGATAATCAGAATATCCATTCATCTGGCTATATAGCTCTTACAATTTGAAGAAACCTTTGAGTTGAAATGTACCAAATTCGGTATGTGTCAGTGCAAGTAAATTGAACAGTGACATGTTTAAGAGAAAGTTCGATTATTTCTAAGCTGCCTTGGTGATTGGCTCTGATTATGATCCTACAGCAGGAACCTACAGCACATTTACAATAGAAGGATGCAAAAATATGTGTAATGCGAGAAATCAGTGAAGTGCCACCGTTAATGATATTTGGAATAACCTTTTTCATTTGGTATTATGAGAAAATTAATGAGAAATCTTTGGTGATCCTATTACTTGCTACGCATCATACTATCGTTCTTGTTATTGAAATACATGTGAAAGCTCCGATTTCAATTAGAACTTTCAAAATGTTGTATTGTCAAGCAGGAATTTAATGTAAATGGAAAAAACACATGGTCCAGAGACTTGGCATGAGTTTGGGGCAGTCATATCTGTCACATTTATTTCTCCATGTAATATCACCACTATATACTGCAAAGCGCAGTCCAGTATCAGGAAGTGTATGTGTTTACTAGTTAATTGTGAGTTGATTGCCCATGTAGTGTGAGTGACTTGCCCGCATAGGTGGCAACTAGTCCGTAAAGTGGGTGACTCGCCCCCAAAAGCGGGCAACAGGCGGCTTCGGGTGAGACAAATCAATTTGTTAACCCAGATCCTCATTATTTGAGCAGGGGCCCATTCCTGTGACTAAACCTGATTTGCATATATCTGTCGTGCAAGTGTCAAGTGACATCTAATTTTGTATTCCACAGAAGTTTTGTTGTCAGCGCCTTCCTCGAAGCACAGCTCAGGTTTTTATTCAGGTATTCCGATCAGGATTTAGTTTCCAGTAATTGGTGAAACATATCTTGCTTTTTGGCTGACGGGAGAGCCACTTGGGGATTGTTCATGCCGTGTTATGTTGTGATTAGCTGGAAAATATGGGCGTTTTATTCAGAAAGGGCACCGAGACTTCCAAATCAGTGCCACTAGATGCAAAAGGGAAGAATTTAGTTAAGATTTATTTCCCCTTTGAAAGCTTAGATTGTACTTGCCCCAACAATATCTGAGGTATAATCTTAGGGTTTTCAGCCAAAGCCCTACGTGGGTTTGAGAGAGCATGAAAAATTCAGCTCGGTGCATATTTCGCTCCTTAGCAAATGAACCCTGGAGACTTCATTTGGGTCCATGCCCTGTGTTTCCCTGTGTAAACAATTCATTTATTTTCATACCCATCGGTCACTCACACTTGAAATTTCCTTTACAATCATGCAGGTTTTTTTTTAAATGACTTGTAACAATCTCTTTAAAAATTGCAAGCAATGACAGGTAATCTACAGGGACTTTGGCAATAGCAATTTGTATGCATGAACTGATCTCGTCAGTCCACAGCTCTGAACATTCCCTGTTATACCCTTGTTCAAATGTCAACCATGATTAAGTGTATGGATAATCAAAGCAATTAGATTTGTTGTATTTGTGAGAGAGTTGCTCTGTTCCCTGGTGAGGTTAGGTAGTGCACTCACTTTCAAAACTTTTGTAAAAAGTGGATAAGAGCGCCATATCATGTTGTCTAGAGCCATGTTTAGTGTGTTTTTCCTTTGTTGCACAATTTTTTTTCAGCTGATTATATTTCTGTATATTTTATCCAAAATAAATTTAGTACATAACATGTGTCTGAAATTCATATAGTGTGTATGTGCTGCTGTATAATGTGCCCTGCTAGTTCACTTATTTACACATTGTTAAGTCTGAAAAGCGCTTTTCAACTCAACCTGGTGACTCTAGCTACAATCCCAGCCAAAATGGTTGGGACACTTCCTGAGCCTACCACGGTCACCCACTCCCCTGCTCCCCCACTTCCCCGCTCCCCCGGTCAATGTTGTTCTCTCCAGCTTTTGGAGCACACACGGTGCAATGAAATACAACATTGAGCAGGGGTAATTGGGGGCCCAGCGAGATTTAGCCAGGATTGAAGCTGGACATCCACAATGAATTATAGATAGTAGAAACACGAATCGTTGCTTGCAGGGTGACAATATTGAGAATGATGTCTGTGGCTTGGTACGTTGAACATCATGTCTGTGAGAGGCTGAGTTCAACACCTGTTTCATTGCTACAATGCACAATGTCAGATGACATATAACTCAGTCTGCCAAAAAGTTCATTTCTATTGTGCACTGAGGATGAAGGTGTAATCATGCTTTTCTCAGAGACATGCTGTGCAGTTGTAATGCTGAATTATTAAATACAACTTGATGCTATGTGCCAAGAGCAACCTGAGACTAGATCGGTAATTTTCAGATTGCTCACATTGCAAAGAAGTACAGGGAAAAAATGAAGGCAGGAAAACTTTTTACAAATTTGTCATGTCAGGTATACTCTGCCTGTACAGGCTGAAAGCCACTCCAGGTACAGGGCTACAAGAAAAATTAAAAGAAGAGTAGACCTAGGTACTCAGGAATACTGAAGGTAGGAATTAACAATCCTCTTGGAAATGAACAGATCATAGGTTGAAGGGGGAAAAAAGAGATGCAAGGAATTGGATATTTCAATAGGGGAGTAAAATTGTCATGGTCTGAAACATTTTTGACAGCTTTCAGATCTTTGTTTTTATTTTGAAATGAAATTCTGTAGCTTGAATTAACTACCGGTACCCAACTGTGTCAGGTCTGGAGTGGTTGTAAGTCCAGACTTTGTAACTGTAGTAAGTTTCAAGTCCGGTGTAAATACATATGCAAGAAATACTTATTGAAAACTTGGAATTATTCTTGACATCCATTGTATTTCAGAACCGCAAGTATCCTGAGGCAGTCTGATTGGTGCTACGCCAGTCTCATTTGATCCTCACCTACAGCATTTGGTGAACCAGTTTAGATTCTTTTCAGGCCGGGGGCAGTTTATGGAATCCGATTTCGGAAACTACCCAATTAGCATGTGTTTTCCCCAGCTTTGAGGGATCCTGCATACTGAATTTCCTCCGGCTATCCAAAGCTGGGATCTATATGTACGGTTAGAAAGCTGTATGTGGCACAGATAAAGCATTCTACATGTTAGTGTGATAAAGTAAAAAAAATTGTCTAAAATTAATTTGACAAATTCAAAGGTTGAGCACAAAGGGAACCTGTGAGAGTAGAATGATTAAGAATCACTTACACTAGGTTACTGCCATTTCTTTTCAATTGATTGCAAAGGTGTGTGGATGGCTTCAATTGTGTGTAAACCTGAAAATGCCTACTGAAATTAGATCTTGTATTCAAGACCAAATGAAGTCTGTACACGATCACTACATGGCACTTTGTGACCATTTTCAAAAGACTCAGGGCTGGACACACTGGGCATGTTCAAAACCCGTTCTAGCGTTGAATGAACAGGGTTTCGAATGACAAGAACCAAAACACAAAACGCTGTTCGGGAACAGGATTTTCACTCCCCACTTACTGGGGAGCAGATGCAACTTGCAGGCTATGTTTGTGCACAAAATTGAAAGCAGCTATGTAGGAGCAATAATGATAAAAAAAAAAACTTGTACGTGACCATAGAGTGTCTTTGGCAATTTTCATAGGTGTTCCAGGATTTCAATCGTTTTTGTAAGATCATTAATTTTCCCTTCTTGTCATTCGGGGATTAAATGTAGCAGCTGCCATCTTGAATTTTTGCCCAGCTGCACTCATACACACTTGGGCTTTCGTAATGGGCAACCCGAGAACACTGTTTGCGGATCACTTGAGATCTGTGCATATCTTGTGCATTCTTGTGCAAATTGCCTGAACTATGCAAAACTAATATTATTCTTAATGTGCCCGATGCCGTAGCATATTTGGGTAAGCATCAGCCATCCTCAGCAAAGCATTAGAATGAACCTCCCAGTGGTCTCTCCCAACTCTCTCTATTTAACCATTGAGGCCCGGTACTTGTGCATGGAGTACATTTATTGCCCTTAATCACGACAATTCCGAGTTTAAATATGGGCATGTATATAAACTAGTAATTCACACAGGTAATCAAGCAGCTATCAAATGGTACAATGAGCAACTGGAACGATGAACAGCCGTGTGGCTGACCCTGATCCCTCATTAATGTAATGTAATATGTGTATTATATGTAGTAGTTTGTTTTTTACCTGTAATTATTGGATTTATAAGTTTGTGGTAACTACATTGCATTTTTACATCTTTTTAATTAATGATTGTATGTTTTTATAACCCACTCTTTGTCAAGGCCATTTTAATTTCCCTCCTGAGGGATAATAAAGTTCAATCTTATCTTATCTCTTATCTTAATGTAAAAAGTACTGAAGCAAAAGAGTGCACGAAATTAATGTGACAACTGTTTGTGTGTCTCAAGATTGTACCCACACTGTGGAATATTACTGGGAGGCAATGACCGACAGTAGCACCCAGTCAGCAACTTATATATTGCATATTTTATTGGCATTTCTTCCGCCAATAACATGCATCAGTAGGATCCCTCCACATGCTGGCTCTGTGTATAAAAGATGTGTACTCCCTGTAATTCTTCAAATCAACCAAATTAGCGGGCCTAACATTTTGGTATTAAACAAGATCTTTCTCAAAGGCAAAGACAAATTCTTCAATCAGAAAAGTGCATCTTTTGTAACGTCACTTTACATTGTATATTACTGGCGCCTGCAGAACTGGTCTTGCATCAATATAAGGAAATATATTGATCCCCTGGTAATTCCCTCAATCCAGCAAAAGAAAAAACAGGCATATTACTACTGTTTCATCATGTTTATATGATAAGGATATCATATGATAATTATCCTCCATGTGCAGTAGAAAACACAAAATTTGCTTTATTTTAATATTCACTCACTTTGGCATCTTACATATGGGCAATTCAATGAGAAAGTGGACATGGCTGAAAAAATAGCAAATTCATGAAATCTTCAAAACTGCAAACATCACAACCTCAACTGTGGGATCAAATTAAAGGGGACAAGAAGACATTTCATTTCAGTGACGTGGCAGTGAGATGTATTATTATTTGGTGGGGGCTAAAATTATAGATTTGGGGTGGTCATTTTGGCACCTTGGTTTTACATGCAAAATGCAAGTTTTATTGTGAGTTTTTGTTTTTGAGGCAGAGAGAAAGGATCATATTTTATTTAAGACAGATTTTTTTTATTGGATAATTTGTTTCTTATATGTTTGAACTTGTACCAAAGTTGGGTGGACAAAGTGTAACTTGAGTTACTGTAACGTGAGTTACTGAAATATATCCCTCTAGATATTTTTGATTGATTATTTTTTAATAAGCATATTACTAAAGGCCCTGTCACACTGTCTGCGATCATATATGCGCTCTCACTGCGTCCTTGAAAAATAGCTGGGGCGCAACAACAACTACTAGATCCCAGCGACAACTACATAGGTCGCCAGATGGGCGCCAGAGGGTCCTTATGGTCTCCGATGAGTGCCAAAGTTTTTGAGCATGCTCAAAACAATTGCAACACCTCTGTGCTCTGACCAGGGCGCCATAATGACACAACTCGGCGCTGTGCGAGCGTGAATCGTGCGACATTGAAGTGGCATTGAGGCAGCCTAGGCGCAAGGCAGTCGATGTAGTCTCCATGAGAAAGTAACTCGACTGCGATGAACTTGAACTAGTCTACATTTGAAACTGGACTGCGGATTGACCGTTTTCTCTGGGTAGCCTATTTATAAAGCGCAAGGGACGTCACGTGAGCGTATTGGTCGGATAGAGAGCGCGACGCGAGCTACTAGGACGTATCAACAGCGAGTAGATCGTAGTGTGAGCGCAGTGACAGCGCGGCGGCAGCGACTAGATCGAGTAATTGGGCTTGATAGGGTGCATAGAGAGCGAGTTGAGCACATCAGGCACGGGATGAGCACAGTATGAGCGTAGCTTGAGCTACTTTGTGGCCACTTGAGACAGAAAATTGTCATTTTCTTGCATCCTCGCTGCGATTGTTAAATTTATTAAATATTTTTGGTCACCGTAAGGTCTCCTATGAGAGCGCATATAACGTGACAGGCCCTTTACACCCTAATGAAAGTTTCTTCTGACAGGGCACAGTATGAGGAAACTTTTCGTATGCAGGGTACTAAAGTTTTGCCATGTCTTTTTTTTTTGGGTAACGTGAGTTGCCGATCAAAAAAATCTTGTTGCCAAACCAACAGAAGTTTATTTTGTTGCTGTTTTTGTTTGTAGTTTAGTCACTTAATTTCAAGGGAAGTTTTGTGAGAACAATCCACCCAAAATGCTGTGACTTTATAGAATAACAGCACAGAGTTGACTGAAGAACTCATCTAAATGTAACACGAGTTACCATGGAATTCCCTATATCATATTACATTTACAGATTTTATGTGAATGAAAAGTTTGACTGTTGCTATTGATTTTCATTGATTAAGATTCTGCTAAACGACCAATTACATGTGCTAAAAAGTAGCCCTGGCGACTTGTGACTCATTTTGATGGGTTGGGTTGTACCAACTGTTTGTCTGAAAATGATTTTACCTATTTTATCTATTCTAAAATTTGGATGTGCCAAATGAGATCTGTGGATCAAGAAATCACCCTTTTACTCCTGTTTTTGTTTTGGTAGATTCTTCAGGCAGTTGCCCATCAGCTTACCTGAAATGCAACAATGGTGTGTGTATTTCCAAGGAGCGGCAGTGTGACGGTGTCAGTAACTGCCAGAGAGGTGATGACGAGGACCCTACTAACTGCCAGGATCAAGGTCGGTAATCATTCAGTATGTTACACCATACATAAGTATGAGCCAAGAGCTCTACTTTGATTTAATAGTCAATGTTCCAACATGGCCAGGGAAGTAAAACTCGGCTGACCTGCATGATGTATGTACTGTCGCTTTCACATCTTCTGGATTGACCCACTGCAAAAGATTGAGCTTTGGTAGTCCCACCGATACATAACCTGACCAGCACTCCAAAAACAAAATGGTCAGTGATGTACTCCTAAAATGTAGTTAGAGTATATGTTTCTCTTTTGTTTTTCTGAAGTTTTGCTGCAACAAGGAAAAGATTTCAGGCTTTTAAGTATTCCTACTTTTTCTTCTTTTTTGTTGTTTTTTTACCTTGCTCCTACTTTTCCTACATTTTTGTTGAAATACTACTATTTTCCTGCTGTTTTGTCCCACAACTCCGAGAAAAACACCAAAATCTCATTGAATATTTTACATGACAGTGTTACACACTGTGATATGTAAATCACACGGTGCAGGGCTTTGACGCAGGAGTACCGCAACTGTACTTCCAAGAGCTTAGTTGAGGATGGAGCACAAGTGTTGTGAGTACAGAACATGCTAAATGAGGCTTATGATGCTGTGGACATGGGTGATTACCACCGAAAACTACTCCTGAAAACCTGCAAAAGTCCTACTTTATCCTGATCGTGTCCTCCTAATTTTGTCCTTTTTTTTTAAAATTTGATCCTACTTTTCTCCCGTTTTTTCACCTTGGTCTGCTTGAAAGCCTGTTATTTGTAAATTAGTTTCCTGTTGCTCAAAACAAGGAGCAGCACGTATCCCAATCACTACTAGACTCCCAGTCATGCAATAATAGTGACCACAAGTCATGCTTCTGGAAGAACATGAACACCACTGAAACCTTCACAACAAACAAATTATGACAAGAGATTTCGATATACAATATTGTTTATTTTAGGCAAGAAGTGCAAAATTACTGGTGCCAACAGTGTTGGCTGATTTTGATTATTTGTGCCAACACCTGGGGACCAATAGTTTGCACTACCTAAACATCATCACATGTATTTATACACTACATATATTATGCAGAAACTGAACACTGCCCAGCTTCCAAACTGTTAAGCCAGCTGCACACGAAGCCAGCTGCAGTAGCTCACAAAATATCCCCGTGTGCAGTGAATTTTTGCTGAGTTTTCTGCCTCGCGAGGCCATGAGGCAAATATCTATCCTGTTTGATTTCTTTCGCCTCATGTGTGCAGTCCGCCTGAGCTATGTGCTGAGCTAAAAACTATCCAATGAAATCACGTAGTCTGTACAGGTGATTTTAAAATATTTTAGTGCAAATATTCTAAAGCCTGCTGGCGTTTGTCCCCATTTTTTAAATCACGCAGCCGACAAACGAGAATAATATACTTTCAATGGCAAGTTAATCTTTTTATCTCAGCACTTAGCTCACGTTGACCAAACATGGTGAGTTTTTTGCCTCGCGAGGCAAAAGAAATCAAACAGGATAGATATTTTCTGCCTCGCGAGACAGCACACTGGGATATTTTGTGAGCTGTATGTGTTGAGACAACGGCCTTGAATGACTTTTTGCTCAGCACGATGTGATGCTCTCGTGTGCGGCGGGCTTTAAGCTGAAGCCTTGTACAACATTGTCATTATAGGTCATTTTTTTTGTCTGAATTATCTTGTTTGACAGAACAGCTGGCATGCATATTAAGTTATGAAAATGTATTTTAGTTTTAGGAATTTTTTTTGACAGCGTGTTCAAGTTGTATATGTCGGTTTTCTAGAAACACCAGTCTTGTGCTTAATTCCCCCCTCCCCCCCCCCCCCCCCCCCCCAGTGCTGTACCCAAAATATTGTCGTCAGAATTACAAGAAAGACTGATTAAGGTTGTAGAAGTTGTTTTGGAGGGAAAATAATAAAAGAGGAGTGTGTAACTTCACAATCACCATAAATTCCACACAAAAATGTTGTGCTTTCGCATACCAGTTTGTACCGTATTAACACATAATTATTACAAGTGTTCCACATTCACGCACTGAAGTAGCTTGAAGATCTAAAAGATGTGAAATAAAATATCTGCTTCACATATATACGGAAAAGTGTGTGAACCATGAATAGTGCATGGCTCAAGAGCACAAGGTGCAGATCCTTAAATCATGCTTCAATCCAGGTAATAATGTGGCTATACAAGTGTAGATGGTACAGCTGCCCCGTGTTGAGGAATATCCAGGTTTCGTAAGTGCTTCCCCCACAGGCCAAAAAAAAAAAAGGTTTCCATTAACATGTAGAATTTTCCTGGGTGAAGGCAGTTTCAACCATGGAATTTGACAGTGCTGTGAACTTCAGTGTGTTATACAACGGAGGAATTATTTCTGCAGTAATTTACCCTGTTTCAGTTCATTTCCTTTTTTCTATTGAAAAGGATGCATGCTGCACCGAATTACATTGCTTATGGTACAGTCTTTGAGTGCTGTATAATCTCATAAAAAAAGGTCAAGTACTGTGCAGGTAGGTCAAGGAGTACACAATTATTAGGTTTCACATTTTATGTTCTAGGTTTGCTGCTCTACTGCATAGGGGATTTTTGCAGGCGTTTGGACTGTATCTTTCCTGGAGGAATGTACTGTCTGACCAAGCAGAGTAGGTGTTTGCAGGCAGAGTACATATTGCAAGATCTCATTATGTTTACTCATTAAACTTAAAAAGACATTTCCCATAAGATTAAGAGTACTCGATATTGATTTCCCAACAGAGTGATACCTACGCATGTCTTTTGATGTTGGAAAGTACAATGTTGCTGAAGTACAATGCTGGAAATGATGTGATCAGGCCATGTAATGTTTCCTGAAAAAGAAATTTTTCATTTTTTTGTTTTGTTTGGATATTTCATTGAAGTTCCATGCAGAAGGGTGGATCCAGAACACAATTTTGTGGGGGGCCAAAAAAAAGTTAGTCCCCCAAGAAGTGGGTAAAAAAAGGACGGCGTGGGGTTCGGCGTACGGCGTATCCCGCCTAAGGGCCCTGCAATTTTTTTGGAATCTAGATGCTCTGTGGTGTGATCTGAGGCAATTTCTGACCTCTTTGGCCAATTTTTTTTGTGAGAAAAAGACGGTGGTGTACGCAGTGCCTGCCTTTATTGTGACGTCACTTAATAAAAAAAATTGGGTTGTTTTTTTTGGGGGGGGAACCATGTCTCCCTTTGGGCGCCCCCCCCCCCTCCCTCGGATCCGCCCGCGTCCATGCACAGTTTTTTGAATTTGTCCTGGTCAAATTTCATTGTTTAAAGTCTGCATGAATGTTGACTGGAAATAGGTTAACCATGAACAACCATGAACAGCAATATTGCTTTGCTTCAATTGTATTACAAACTGGGTAAAACTGCAACATTTTCAGTGTCATTCAATAGGGGATAAAGGGTCCACTGTACTAATTCAAGCCCCATTGAAAACAGTGTAAAATCAAGTTCAGAGCTAAGTAACATGCAAGCCAACATCACTGGGGTTTCTGAAACAAAAATTAAATTATTGTCTTGTCTTTCATCTTTTCATTTCTTTTCAATGTTAGGTACATTAGCCAATTACATTTTTAAATATTCACACCCAAATAAAATCACCTCCCGAAAAGTGATAGTTCCCGAGCCTGCATGTAGCCATTTTACAAGTGGCATCCTTCCACTTTCACAGGCAAATAGGACCCATTTTTCATCCGTGATTTTATCAAGCCTGCCCTCAGATGGAAGCCCCAAAACCAGGGAGTTGATCCTTGGGTATATTTAAACAATTCCACCGTTTTTAAAGCCAAACGGTCTCCGTTTTCAAAAGTAATTATGGGGGGGCACTTTTTATGCTAATCAGCTGGCGTAGAAATTCTCGCTTGAATTCAGTTCAGTGCACCCTAAAGGGTAGGCAACAGGAGCCATTCATCTCACCCAGATGCAGGTCCTTCTTTAAAGGAAATGTACATCATTGACTTTTGCTGTAATTTTCAGAAATGAACTATTTGAGGGTTTAGTATAATACATCAAATATTGTTACACTGACACCTTTGATATTTTGTGTTCGAAAGTGCTGGAAAAACCAAGAAAAACAAAATGTTTAAGTAGTCTGGTTCATTAACTCCACTAAAGATAAAATGGATCAATTTGTAGATGCCGGAAAATTGTAAGGTAAGGGAACCAATCTAGCTGGCCTGCACGTGCACTGTTCATGAACATGTAACCAATAGCAAACAAATTTGGACTGAAAAAAGGGTAAATTTGGAGCAGTAGTTGAAAAAATAGTTAGGTTTTTCCAACGGTGGTCGGCCAACCACCTTTGGAAATGTATACAAAAATACCAATTTTTTGAAAATGACTTAACACCAGGTGCCATAATTTTACAGGATGCTTTAGACTGTCATTACCAACATCCTAGTAACGTATTTCGTAAAACCTTGGTAGTTTTATTTGTCGATGTTTGCAAATGTTGTATTTTCCCTTTAAGTAAATACACCCAAAGAAGAGTTAAAACCATTGTTTTATGCTACACATATGCCCTTTTCCTCTACAGATGTGCAGTATGAATGAGAAGAGAGATAAGAAAACGGGGGGAAAGAATCTTATGAAGTCCATTCACCTCCCCCCCCCCCCCCCCACCCAAAAAAAATACTCTTGGAATATTGAAAATCAGCCGTGATTGCCACTTCCCCTGGCTTCATAGTAGCAGACTGGGGTATATAAATTGGTTCCAATAATCCTGTCATCCTGAATATAACGGCCTTGAAATTCAGGTATTCAAGAATGTACATTGTTTGGAAATGTTGACTTCATTCATTCTGGGTATAAATTGAAATACGATTTTAAGGGCGTGCTATTTTTCAGACTTTTGTCTGAAATCAGACTATTTGAATCAGAGAGAAAGACATTAGTGTTGAAAGAAATGCATCCAATTTTCAGATTTTTTTTTTTAAATTGACAATGTCATCCCTCAATGGCCACTGATGCACTTTATAGAGCTCAAAAT